CATTTGTAACGTACTCAGAACAAATGGGATGTGAAGACAGTTCATTATAAACCCCTCCATGGGATATATGCTGGCTTTTCTTTATTCTTACATGCTCCTGCATGGCCACTCTAACAGTAGGAATTTAAACATCTTTTGTACTGGAAGTTTTGAACAGTTAAGTACGCAGAATCACAGAGTCTGCTAACATTTTACACAGAAATTAAAACTGGCTGTACTGCAAAAGCAGTATTTAAACGTACATCTCTAGGCATAACCTGTGTTTCTCCTGTTAACACTCACGCAGGCTTGGTGAAAAAGGAAAAAAACCTTACCTCTTCTGAGGGATATGTCCACTGCTATTGTGAAAGACATAAGAAAAACACAGATGGCACATCGTTATTAAAAAACTGCAGCAACTGTGTTGAAAAATAGCGTCACAAACCACACTCGGATTCTTTTCTGATACACAAACATTTTTTTCCCCCTGTTAACTGGCAGAAAATCTTTGTCGTATCAGCCAAACTTGCCAGTGCTTTCAGCTAAGGAAAAATTTATTGTAGCTGATTACTGTCTAGACTTCATTGCTAGTTAGGTTTCCAAATATAGTTTAGGTAACAGAGGACAATGGATATGTAGCTCTAACCAATACTGAAAGTGTTGTTCATATTTTCCCTTTATCTCCTCATTGCCTACATGGAATCTCCCTCAAAGCCTGCTGACTTCAGTGAGCCTTGGTAATGCAAGACTAGGGATGAGTCAAATATACTGAGAAGTAAAAAATTAGTGAAAAGAAATACATCTCCAACCCCACAGCTGGCAGCTGAGCCCTCTAACTCACTCCCACAAAAGTCCTACTGTGGACAAGAACATGGCAGAATTAAAAATGTATTTATAGATATAGTAAAACTACTTGCCTGATGTTGGAATAACAGGAACGTTTCACGGGTGACAGCATTCAGGCTTTCTGCTGAATATACCAACCTATCAAGTCAGGCAGAAACTTCCCCCAGACTGGCTATTCTGTGCCCTAAAGCCAGACTAGACTACCTAGCTTGGGCACTACATCCAAAAATACTGCTGGTCCAACCTTGAGCTGCCATATATCTATTCCTATGAAAGGCGTCTAAATAGGCGACGTTCCTTTGCACAAAACCAGGAGGACAGACTGATAATCAAAAGAGACTTTGTAGAGGAAGAGTGAGACAACCTAGCGTTGGCTGGAAACTCAGCCAGGCTGGTAATCACCACTGAGGGTCGGATGACAAGAGCAGTTCTGTTGGCCAGGGCAGCCTTTAAAATTCCTAGAACGGAGGCAGAAATGCAGCAGAAGGGTTTCTCGTTGGAAGAGGAAAATGAAACCGGACTATCGGCGGGGCCCCCTTCCCGACCAGGAACGCGGGGGTGCTCCCACCCAAGGCGGAGGACACGGGGGTCTCCCCAGGGCAGGGCTACCTCCCGCTGGGGAGTTAGAAGGGAAAAATCACCGCGCAAGGTAGCGCACACACATCCTT